GGTAGCCCAGGCTGGCCTCGAACTCACAGAGATCCGCCTGCCTCTGCCTCCCGAGTGCTGGGATTAAAGGCGTGTGCCACCACCGCCCGGCTCCACCTGCCTGTTAATAGGGGAATTATGTCCCTCCCAAGTTCATATTTAAATCTTATTACCCATTATCTTTGAATGTGAGAGATTGGCCTTTAGAGTCGACAGTTCCTTATCCAAAGTGACACGTGTCCTTACAAAAAATGGGAAACTTGGGGCTGGTGAAATGGTTCAGCAGGTCAAGGAGCTGCTGCTAAATGATGACTTGGAACCCGCAAGGTTTCAGGAGAGAACCAGCTCCTGAGGGTTGTCCCTTGACTGCCACACATGTGTGCCATGGCACATGCATGCCTGTACTCGAATCCATACAAAATACAACAAATAAATAAATATTAAACATGGGCAACTTGGGCCCAGAGACAGGCCTAGAGCAGCAGTGGTGTGGGGAGGGTGATGGCTGAGGAATGAGGCAAGATCTCCACCACGGCAGGCAGAACTAGTCAATTCTCTGAAGCCCTTGACTTGGGGCTTCCAGATGCCGGACAGTGAGAGATAAACTGCCATTGTCTAAGTCACTCAGTGGGTGTGTCACTTTGTTTTGGTGGCCTGGCAACCTTACACAAAAGCCTTCACGAAGCTCCCCTTGATGGTGGCATCATGCATAATTAGAGAGCAGTGTCAGCCAAGGAACTGACACTGTCTCGGTCTCAATCTATGGACCTTTCGCGTGTGTTGTGTGTGTTTGTACTTTCTTGGTGAGATCTTCCTAATGCATGGTCATCTGTTAGGAAGAATCTGTGGCTCTTTCCGGCTGTGGCCACTGCCTCTCCTCCCCTTTAACTGTCTGTCATTCGTCTGTGTGAGCAGAGTCTCAGGGTATGGCTGCTCTATTCATTCAGCAGTATTCTCTTGGGATCTATCAGTAGTTCATTCCTTGATTTCCTTTTAGTGTCCTAAGGTATAGTTGGCTAAAAGACATTTAGGTAGTTTCTGTTTGAAGCTGTCATGAATACTACTGCTGTAAACATTCATGTCCAAGCTTTATATCTATTGTGGTTTTCTTTTTACTTATTTATTTACTCATTGATTGGTTGATTCAGTGTGTGTCTTGTGTTGTGTATGTGTGGTATATGTGTAAGTGTGAGCATGTGTGCATGCACATGTATGAGTGTGTCTGTCTGTGTGTGTGTTGGCCACGGGCCTATCTCAGGTGTCTCCCCTTGATGACTCTCCAGTATTTTTTTTTTCTTTTTGAGGTAGGGTCTCTCCCTGAGCCTAAAGCTCCTCCACTGGGCGAGGCTGGCTGCCACTGAGCTTCATATGGGCCACCATGCCTGGTTAAAACATTATTTTAGATTTATTTTTATGTTTTACTTTATGTATATGTGTTTTGCCTGTATGTATGTATGTATGTAAACCAAATGTGGGTCTGATGCTCAGGGGGGCCAGAGAGGGCATTAGATTCCCCATAACTGGAATTGTGAGCCACCATGAGGGGGCTGGGAACCACACCCAGGGTCTCTGTAAGAGCAGCAAGCGCTCTTAACTGCTGAACTATCTCTGCAGTCACGGGTCTGGCTTAGGTGGGTTCTGGGGATCTAAACTCATGCTGCTGAGGCAGGCACTTTGCCCACTGAGACATCTCCTTAGCCTACTGTGATGATTTTATTTCCTTGTAGACTATTATTCGAGGTTGTCTTAAACATTAAAAAACCACTCTTTTCTGTCCCACAAGGATTTATGGAGCCTGGAGGATGTAGAAACCTCACTGTGGCCCAGGGTCCTCTCTGTCTTGTACACTGTGCATTTGTCTAAACACCAGACAAGCTCACCAGTTCCCGCCCACCCAGCTTGTCCATGTTCCTCCCAGCCGTTGTGGCTTCTGATGGGATATTTAGGTCACTTCACATTGGTCTAAGGAAGGTGTCAAATCTTTAGTCTGAAGTGCTGTGTTTTCTAATTATTTTCTCTAAAAGAATTTAATGTTATTTGGGGTTTGCTAAATTTCTCAAATCTGTAGGTCCTCTGTGTTTCACTGGAATCAGATAGTTTTCTGTCACTATTTTGTCTATTGGTTTTTCCTCATGGCATCCTTTTTCCCTTGACCTCTCACACCCTGATGACAAGTGTGGACTGTTGTGGAATATTTGCTTACACTTTGCCAAGACACCTTCTGATTGGCTTAGTAAAGACCTGTATGGCCAATAGTTAGGCAGGAAGAGGCTAGGAGGGACTTCTGTGACAGAGAGGACTCTGTCTCCATGTCATTATTTGGGAGCTGGTGGGACAGAGAAAGACTCATTAAGGTAAACTTTTGTGGTACATTTCAGGGTCCCAGAATCTTGTTGGTCTTCCCACCACCTCCACAATATATATATATTGCTGTTTAGCTGGAGACCTTGTTTTTCTATCTTCAAGCTCATTGATTCATTCCTCCACTATCAGTGAGTATGTGTTTGTGTGTGTGTGTATATATATTTGCTTGTTTTTTTGAGACAGGGTTTCTCTGTGTAGCTTTGGAGCCTGTCCTGGATCTTACTCTGTAGACCAGGCTGGCCTCAAACTCACAGAGATTCACCTGCCTCTGCCTCCTGAGTGCTGGGATTAAAGGTGTGCGCCACCACACCCGACTGAGTTTCAATATATTAACCATGGTATTTTTCAGCTCTAAAACTTCCAGTTTGGCTGGCAAAATGGCTTAGTGGGTGAGTCAAGCCAGACAACCTGAGTCTGATCTCCAGGACACACAGGGAAAGAAAAGAACCAACTCCTGAGAATTGTCTTCTGACTACCATGGTGTGAGCATGAGTGTACACACACACACACACACACACACACACACACACACACACACACCCCACATAAATAAATAAGTAAATAGTGTCATTAAAAAACAAACAACAAAACCCCTCCCGGTTAAGGGCTGAGGATACAGGACAGTGGCAGGGTGCCGTAGATTAGACTCCAAGGCCACAGAACCAAACCGGAACAAACTGGACACCCAGAAAGATGGAGACAGGCGAAATGATGACAAGATCAAACAAACCTTCCACTCAGCTTCCATTTTATTTCACTTTTTGCTTCCTGTCTCTTTACTAAGACCTTCTTTCACTGAACGTTGGCCTCACTCTTTGGAGCTTTTATCTTTGTTGTAATTTGCTGTTATTGTATATGGTTCATGTGCCGCAGGGGTGCGTGTGCCGCAGGGTGTGTGTGCCGCAGGGGTGCTCATGGAGGACGGAGGGTAATTCTCAGGAGTCGGCCCTTGCCTTCATCTGAGCCCTTGTCAGGTAATTCCATCTGTAAAATCTTGTATGTATGTTTCAATTTTCCATGCTCTTAGCATGCTCATTAATTTTGCATTGTGTTCTGAACATTTTGAACATTAATATTGTTCGTTCCCCAGTGCTGTCTAAATCCTATAATGCAGGTGGCTCTGTGGTGCAATGGATAACGTATTAGACCTCTAAAATCCTGTGGTGGCCTAGGATGAAGTTCAGCTGTAGACCGTAGCTGGATTTCCTTCTCAGCACCACAGACACACAAATCCCATGTAACAACATAGAGGATATGACAAGTAGCCTTTTCAGACACAGGCTACAGATTCCATTAGCCTTCTGTGGGTTAGAATTTGTTATTTTTTAAAAATGACAGGAGCCAGGCAGCAGTGGCACATACCTTTAATCCCAGCACTCAGAGCCAGGTGGATCTCTGTGAGTTCGAGGCCAGCCTGGTCTATAGAGCGAGATCCAGGACAGGCACCAAAACAACACAGAGAAACCCTGTCTTGAAAAAAACAAAAACAAAAACAGAAAGACAGGATCTCACTCTGTAGCCCAGGCTGGTCTGAAACTCACTATGTCATCCAGGCTGGCCTCAAACTGTGACAGTCCTCTCACCTCAGTCTCCCAAGCGCTGGGATTCTAAGCACTCGGTACCAGCCACTTCCGCTTTCTGTCTTTGGAGGTTGTACAGAACAGTCCTGTGTGCGTGCCACCTAGTGGTCAACCTGGAAGGTCATCTCAAAGATCTTGGTAGGCATGTACTTAGGGCCTGATTAACAAAGCTGCCGTCTGTGAATCCCTTCCCAGCAGCCACTTTCCCAAATCCTCCTTTTAACGTCCCAGTTGCTTTCTGGCTCCTGGTTTCAGTGCTTCAGTCAGAAGAGCTGTAAAGAAAGCAAGAGATTTCTCCCGTCTGCCTGAGCCTCCGGAGACCTCTCTCCCAGAGCCCCATTTCTTCCAGCAACCTCATATCTACAGCAAGCAGTTTAGAAGCTGAAAATGTACTGAATCTACCAGAGGTTCTGGGTGGCTTTGATTCTACGCCTCCTTCCCAAATTACAAGCTACTAAATACTTAAAATGTGTGCACACAGCATGCCATGATGAGTTGGTTCTCAGCTTCCACAGCGTGGGTCCTGGGGATTGAACTCAGGTTATTAGGCTTGTCGACAAGCACCTTTACCCAATCAGACAACTCTCTGGCCCCATACTGTATGCTTTTCTTTCTTAATTTCTCTGTGTTCCTCCCCCTCCCTTTCCCTCCTTCCCCTCCCCTCCTCCATCTTACACACACACACACACATACACACCACACACACACATACACACACACACACATACACACACACACA